ACTTCTTTCTCTGAAGGTGATTCCCAATGTCAATCTTAATCGTCAGGAGAATAAGGCGATTGTTAAAGCAATTGAGCCAGCTTTACAAGTAAGCCCTTAATTTTAAGTAATATCACTTATAATGAAAAGGAGGATGGTGGTTTAGATGCTCACATAGGAAAGTCATTAAATCTGTTAGTTAAATATCAAGAACCGGCTTAATAGGGGTGTGCAATTAATTCACGCCGAGATTGCCAGCAAACGTGCATGCGGAGGGCATGCATATTTCTTAGGTTGCTCCTTTAAAGTGACAGCATGTGGATATTGCTCCTTTACAACAGCAGCATGTACGCAAGCGAAATAGTGCGCATCTGAACGTAAAGGACATCCATTTATTCAAAACCTCAAATCAGTAACAAATTTCATTTTTGGCCCAGTTGCGATTTGCATGTCCTTGTCTATTACTCTCTGTTGCAATTTTTGATGCGCGCTTCTATAGCATATTATTTGTACTAACTTTATAAATACCTTCTGAATATAACATATTGGGGTCGAAAAACGTATCTTTCGATTAATCTCCCCCCGGAGCACTAGATATGTATTTCCTAAACCCAGAATTAGGAATTCGGATTGAGGAGGTAGAAAAGCGTGTTTCACCCAAAATTTGCCTTCAGAAACTGTTTTTACTTAACGGGATTGCAGAAGAGGCATACGGCTACTTCTGTACCACTGATTCTGGAATTGTAAATAATAGAAGGTAGGCTTGGGCCTGGAAGCTCGCAAGCGTGTACAGTAGCAGGTGGGCTCATGACGAATTACGAATATAACCATCATAATCTGACTTATCAGTCGGCCCGCAGATAGTACAGCAGAAATAGTACTGAAAGTAACTATTGCGCCAGGAAACTATGACTGAAAAAACAGCTTTGTCCATAAATATGTGGCAGAAAACATGTTAAAGTGTCCCGGATCCTGCTCCACAGGAGCAAGTAAAGGAGTAAAAGCACGTGGAGGTGGTGTGAGCTGGTGGCCTATCGTTAACTTCCCCGCGTAAGGTGGGCTGGGCCGAAAACAATACTTGAACTCTTGGAGCAGGCTACATTGGTTGCACGAGTCGGCGCCTATCCGCAAGAATACGAGGACACCTGCTGGCATGGCTGTGGAAGGGTGAATTTAAGAGCATAAGCAGCTCCATCTACGCAAACATGGTTGATTATGGACACGTGTGGATTCCAACGAGGCCTTCCATGTGATTTACAAGGTCCCACCTAATTACCCTAGGCGACTGAGTCAGCGCTTATTAACAACAGCAGAGGCAAATTTCATCAGGCTACAGAGACCGATCCTGTGCGCGCAGAACCTCTTGCACACTCAGCGTCTACCGTGGGTGAGGATCGACTAACTGTATGCATGTCTTCGCGCCTCCGCCTCCCTTCCCACCTCCCTTGTGACATGGCTCAACCTAACCCTCGCTGTCAATGACTGTCTCCTACTCCCCCCTCTCCCACACTCTATTCACATATCCGGTTTGCATGAAAGGACGAACCGTAATCGATTGTTCTTATCACTCGCACGTTTCGGTTTGTACCTCGTTCACATATAAATCTACAGGCCGGATGAGAATTTATCGAGAGCACGCGTAAGCTAGCCAAATGCTCTTCCGGAATATGAAAGAATTGGACTTATCGAATTTCGATCGTCAATGTGTGTGCTGCACGTGTTGCGGCGTCACAAATGATCTACAGAAAAGTGAGCGCCGGTTAAAACAAGGGGGTTTTGGTACGTCAGGTCTGCTGAGGGGCTACAACCCAAGCACCACACACGTCCTTGTGCGAATTCCAATGTCGCGAAAAGATTGAAGCGCATTAAAAGTTGAAGAAGTTTATGGAGGCACTTTTGCAAACTCGTCGATTTATTCTCGTGACTAACCAAGTTCGCCCATGGTATCCGGGGCCCATATAGACTATAAACGTTCTTTATGGCTTTGTTGACCGGCTCGGTTGTGATGGACGGCATGCAATCTTTACTCTCTCTCCGCTTTGGAACCTTTTTGTACTATATATGCAAAACCATTCACATGAAATTTAAAGCAGTATTATGCGAATAACTGTTTGTTTCTCTGTCAGTGCTTTAAGGTTTTGTCTGCCTATCAAGAACTGCACTGTTGTTACCTGTAAAATTCTCCTGCATAATATGTACTTATTGGGATTCTTTACTGTGTAATTATTGGAAAGATGACGGAATCAAATGTGCATGATGAGAGCGTTTACTAGTCATTAAACAATCACTTTTACAGGGAGGAGACAGCGGGCATGCATGGGGACGGTTTATCTGGCTGGACGGACAATGCGCTTGTCATAAATTGACAGTTCAACTGTCGTCAACTACGATATCCGCCTGGTGTCCCACATAAAGGCGGTGTCAGGATGAGACATATCTCCTACTGCGCAGTCATTCAGCGCACTGTTGCCCATATCTGCACTCATGTGAGTTGTTGTGTTGTAGCTGAAACTGAAATTTAGTACCTAATGGCTAGGCTGATTTGAGCGTAAGTTGGTTTATATCGAGAGTGCACATGCGCAGCATCAACTACACTTTCTTTTTCTTTACACACAGGAATCCAATACTAAGACGTGGTCGGCACCGACCAACAGTCGCACAGCGGCGCAGGACATAAGCAGAATACCATTACTGAAAAAGACAAAGAAGACAGGAACAGCTTTTTTGGCTTATCATGCGCCGCTGTGCGGTTGCTGATTTGGCTCGAGAGAGACAGAGAGTCCTTAAGCACAACAGGAGGGATGACTTCCGTGACATGATTGCTGAGCATCACTCTATCATTGTCTGTTCCCGATCACAACCGACAGGTCAACGAGCACGTGGATTAGCGGTTACAGGTGTCGAACTTCGAACGAAAAGGTCGCGAGATCGAGAACTAGGTGTTCCACACTTCGGGGTTGGGTATGACTGGGTGACGACTGCTAACAGGCTAGAAATGGTCATTCTGGTCGCTCGCACCTTTCTCGGTGACGCTACTCTGCCTATATCATGCGTCGCTGTGCGGCTACAGGTTGGGTTCGAGAAAGAGAGAGCCTCAAGACACAATGGGACAAGTGAGTTCTATGACAAGATCGGTGAGTTCCACCTAACATTGGTCTTCAATCCGCGGCTTCAAGCTCAACGGAATATTTAACGACTCCTTCTTTTTTCGAGGAATGTTTGCTGAGTGTGTGGAGTCAATAATTCTCAGATTCGGCCCTTCTCCCTCCTCGCTTCATCATGCAGCATTCGACTCTCCGAGCCATTGTCCTGTCTGGTGGTGACACTGTGTAGTGACCGATATGGCTTTCTGGATAGTTATTTGTGTCGTCTCTTTCTCCTCTACTCTCTGATTCTGGTCTAAATATTATATGAATCCCGCAGTTTTTTCTGCTGATCGACCCCACTTAAGCCACGGAATTACCATTTTCAGTTTAGTTCATTTTTACTGAGGAAAATATGCGCAAGACACGTTGAAATCCCTATCAGGTTATAAGTCGTTTGAAAAAAGCACTGATAAGTGAAGGGCTAAAAAAGAGATTTTGTACATAATTGCTTGTGAAAGGCAGGCAGCTGCCAGCTAATCAAAAAATGATCATTAATGGCTACTCGCTCGATGAAAGTAGCAAAAACTCATATAAGTTTAATGATGGGTTATGTGACAGAGTGTGTGGCTTGTAATTCGGAAGCTTGGTACGCGTCAAGTCTACGCTTAAATGAGTCCACACGGGAGGAGAGTATAACATAAGTAGGCAGGGCATTCGACGCTGCAACCACTCTTTTAACGAAAAAGAACTTTCGTCCATTGATCTTTGCTTTTCCTGCACGTAGTTTTAGAGTAGGGCCGCGCAAAGTGGGCGTTTTAGCCTGAGAGAAGCAGTCGCTGTCATCTAAGCAGCAGTCTAGGTTGTTGATAATGCGAAAGGTTAGTATAAGGTCACCGCGTAGTTGCCCGTTGGAAAGGATAAACAGGTTGACAGTTGGCAGTCTGGTTACATAGGGCAGTGAGTTCAGACCTTTTGTCTATGGACCATCTCCAAGACTGTATAGTCCTTGACAGTCCAAGGGCTCCACCTCTGTATGGCGTATTTTAGATGAGGGCGCACGTAAATGCCAAATATTTTGGAAAATCAGTCAATATCAAATCCCATAAATGCTCGTCTAATGATTTGCGGCGTAGCTCTAGCTGATTTATCCACCCTAGCGCAGTGTAGTGTTGGTTTGAGTGAAGATGTTATTCATACACCCAAGTCCTTTTGACTGTCAGTTTGTTGCTGTGGTGTGCCGTGAAGAAAGTGAGTTCTGGGATTGGAGGTGTGCCGAGGCGCCAGACTATCTTGCCTTTCCTACCTTTTCCTCATTCTTGAACTCACTGGTTGTTTAACTGAATGGAAGGCATACAACTCGACGCGACGCGCTTGGCATGAGTTGGATTGTCAGGTCGTTTGACTTTTGATTGTTCATTCTTTCAAAACTCTGGTCTTATCCTGATATTCATAGTCTGGGATTGAGGGTTCTGGCTTTAGCGCTCGCGACAGTGGTGACCTTTTGACGTTCGCGCTTATACCCTTAATTTGTTGACTTTCAATTTGCATACCGTCCGTTTGCCTTCTTTCTTTCTACAATCATGACCTCTATGAATTCCAACGATGCCACTACTTCACTCAGTGGACTTTTTTCTTCTCTCCCAGACTTTTGGCAACATGCGCCAGAACTTTAATTTTTTCCGTGTTGAGGCAACTTTTTACTCCGCCAAGATAACACGTGAAACCAACAAGTATTATATGTTGGTCGAGGCCCTTCCTCCCAACATTCTTTCTCAAGTTCAGACGCTTCTGAGAGATCCCCCGACTGATGCTCCCTACACCAAGTTAAAGGCTGAACTTCTTCGCCTGACATAAGTCTCCGATCGGCAGCGTTATCATGCGCTAGTAAAAGAGGAGGCCTTAGTTGATCGCAAGCCATCGGAACTCTTGCGTAGTATGCGTTCTCTGGTTGGAAACATGAAAATCGACGACAAGTTCTTTAAAGAGATGTTCCAAGAACGTCTGCCGACGTTGGTACAAAGAATCTTGGCCCCTGGCACCGACGACCTAGACATATCAAAGTTAGCGGTGATTGCTGACCGTATGATGGAGGTTGGGCGTTTGTCATCCCCGACTACTGCTCAGGTGTCCCAGCCTCTCAACGCGTCCACGTCTGACTTGGCTGAACTAAAGACACAGATTGCCCAGTTGTCATCGACGGTTGCCGCTTTGCAGCTGCGTCGACCCCCCGGTCCCTCTCGACGTTCCTTCGGCCGTGACCGTCGTCGTTCCCGCTCTCATCCCAGGACCGCCAACCTATGCTGGTATAATGTCGACTATGGCGACAAGGCGCGACGCTGTATCCCACCCTGCTCCTTCAAGTCCACGCAGGGAAACTCCTCGGCCGGAGAGTAAATGCGGCCGAGATCTCTGGCAATTCTAAAGGTCGCGTATTTTTTGTCAGTGAAAACACGAGTGGCAGGCATTTGTTAGTCGACACTGGCGATTAAATTAGTGTTATCCCTCCCACGCCAGCCAACCGACGTTGCCCAAACCATGGTCTTTACCTTCAAGCCGTAAAATCATCCCCCATTACAACCTTTGGATTTCGATCCCTCTCCCTGGCTATTGGTCTCCGGTGATTATTCCCCTGGATATTTGTGGTTTCTGATGTTCCCACCGCCATCCTTGGTGCTGATTTTTTGGCCGCCTTTGACCTTCTGGTGGATTGCAGACAACGTCCTCTCCATGATCGCGCAACTACCCCCACCGTCAAAGGATTACCTCCATCCTCAGCTTCTAACCAGCCCTCCGTCCTTGACCCAAACCCTGACTGTCCATTTCGTGGACTTTTAGCATAATATGCTACCCTCACTAAGCCCCATTTTCTGACACCTCATTTCCCCATGATGTTGTTCATCACATGAAAACGACTGGTCGCCTCGTTTTCTCTCGTCCCCGCCGTCTTGCTCCCGCGCGTCTTGCCGCTGCTAAAGCAGAATTTGACCACATGCTGCAACTAGGGATTATTGGACAGTCTGACAGTCTCTGGGCATCTCCTTTGCACATGGTTCCTTAACCACATACGGATGATTGATGTCCGTGTGGCGATTATAGGGCCCTAAATAATATCACTATGCCCGATCGGTATCCAGTTCCGCACCTTCAGGACCTTGCCGGAGCTCTATGTGGCAAACCCGTTTTCTCGAAGATCGATTCGGTGCGGGCTTTTCATCAAATTCCGATTGCGGCTGAGGACATTCACAAAACGGCAGTGACGACTCCTTTTGGCTTGTTCGAG